TTGATCATATATATACAACAAATGTTTTGGTGCAACAATATATGTATTGGAAGAAGATATATGTATTGGCATAATGAAAGTGCAATAATTTCTTCTTGGAAGAAGGTGAACATTATGTTTGGTGCAATATTGTTTAATTGTAAATAATTAAAAGTTATTTAAATGTGGATGGAATATATAAGTAAATAAAAAAGTAAATGGAGTTAGATTGAGAGATAGCAAAGTAGATTAACATGAAAATCCAGTTGGTCTTAAATTTGTAGTGATATCCCAATTATGATGTAAAGAGTCGTGAATTTGAATATTGCGCACAAATTTTGGCTAATGGTATCTGGCAAACCTTTTTGGTATATACTGCAAAATCATAAATGAATGAATTATAATCTTGAAGTCAAAATTATGTAGAAGAGGTCAATATAGAATGAGATATTAAAGATAGAACCTACAAATTTCTAGTGGCTGTTGTGATGAGGTGTTAGTGTTACTTCATAGACAGGATTATTTGTATGTGAAGTGTAGTCTTCTTCAGGAATATCGGAGTCATATGTCACCTGTAACCCAGAATGATCAAATATGATCATGTTTAATGTGGAATTTCCAAACATAACCATCATGTAAATTATGATGGTCAATAAATTGCTTCCATGCATTAGCTAGGTATATTTTTCCATCAACTCTTTCTAATTTGATGGTAACAATTATACCATCAAATGCAATTACTCGTATTGTATCACCAAGTTCACACACACACACACATATATAATACAAGTATGATATTAATAAAATATCTATTAAAATGTGAAAGAAGAAACTATTATATGGCTAATCAGGTGGGTATTGTGGTTTAGTGAAGGAGTGATGATTTTGAAGAAACGACATGGCATGTCCATTTTGTCTTGATACACTGCAGTGAGAAAATTGTTGAAAGAATAATATTATTTGCAATGTGAAAACTTGGAGAAGATAAATTTTGAAGTATTTGATTACAGTGAGAAAATTGTTAGAAGAAAATATTATTTGCATTATGGAAACCTGGAGAATATAAATTTTGAAGTATAGGTGAGTTATAAAATTTGTTCTTGAAATATCATGCAGTTTGGAATTAAACATTTGTGTACAATTAAAGATGTTTTTAGAAAAAATCACTCAATCCACAAACAAGATGTAACTTAAACTACAAAATTTAGTTTTGAGAAAATAGCTAAATAGACAAACACCTGATTTTGTTTGAGTGAAGCATTGGAAAGTCATAAGTAAGATAGTATTTGCCAAAGAAAACTTGGCTAATTTCAGCCCAAGTCCCAATCGAACGTGGACGCAATAAATACAACCAGCTCTTTGCTCTTTTTTTGAGAGAAAATGAGAAAAATTTAAGCCTGATTGCATCAATTTTACCACGTTGATTGTGACAAATTGCAACCACCTTTTCAAGTTTCCTAATATGTACGTAAGGGTTTTCATTTTTAAGACCGTGAAAGGTGGGAAGAAGTTGGATCATTCTTGATTTAAGGTCCATACGTGACATATTAGATGGAAATATAACTCATGATGAAGTAGATGTGCGTGTGGGGTAAAGATAATCATGCAAAGTCCTAGTTGGTGCCTCCTCGTTTCACTATTAGTCATTGTGTTGTGATGTGTGTACCAATAGATTCAGCATCAAAGAGAGGGTTAAGAAGAGATTCAAACATTGGTTGCGGCCTTGCAATGAGTCCTCCCCACTCGTCTCGATCTCCGTTCATAAAGCACAAAAAAATATGGAATTTTGTAAGAAAAAACAGAACAAAAACCAATAAAATTAAACTAATTAAATTAAATGTAAAAGAGGAACGAAGTCACCTTTTTTGCTCGAAAATCCTTCTATTATTTGTACCGTCTCTCCGGCAACGACGTCAACATTTGATTACACCCAAAGTATAATACGGTGATTGTAGTATAGATTTGGAGTGTCGATTTCACGGGGAGATAGAAAATTTCACAAAGGATCAAATAAACTAGGATTTTCATGATTTTATGCGAATGTAGATTATCAATTGGAATGAAATTTAATTATCAATACGCGAAATTAGTGAAGCATCCGAATTTCGTCAATTGGATTGGACCATCTACATCAACAATTCATGGCTATTTACTCAATTAGAGGTTTTCATCAGCCCTCTAATCGGAATATTTAACAATGAAGATCAATTAATTTTCAATTGTAATGCTATGATCTAGACTTTTGCAAACCATTTCTAATCTTATACACAATGCATAAGGCAGTAAATAATCCATCAATAAAATTTAATGAAATTGAAATTCAACAGAGAAAATGTGATTGAGTCTATGAAGAATATAATTAAAGTTAAATCAATTCCAAGCAATATCATGAAAGAAAATCTAGATTTAGAAGTGTTTGACAATACAAGTACCAATTTGTATGAGTAATAGATGTGAAGTAGCCAACTCCAATGAGTTCGTTCGCAAATTTACCTAGAAATTTAGTTCTCCATGAATTTCTTGAGCCAAACTTGAGAGAAAATTGATAAGAGATGAATAATAAACATTGTGGGCCAGAATAGAGTTAATAATAGTGCCAAAACGCGTTTCCATAATAGGATGGACGAATTAAGGAAACTAAATTTTTTGCCAGAATTTATTCTATGCAATTGCCTTCAGTATTTTGACCATAATATTCTCTCCTCGATGTCAGATTAAAACAATTCAAAGTGGGTTGAAAAGTTAACACAAATGACTACAATTTGATTTGTGAATATGTTATGGTCATATTTCACTTCTTTTGACTTCTAGTTGCACCCAATTGACTCATAGCTTTCTCAAATTATTATTCCATAGCCCTTCTCATGTTTGAATTATTTTCAACTGGTCCCTGAACTTTCACTTTCTTCCATTTTAGTCCTTTTCGCTCATTTCTTCTAAATTCCACCATATTCATCCATTTGCAATCTAAATCAAAATATAAGGGTATTTAATGCGTTTAGGCGTCAATATATCATGCAAATACAAGTATAAATGGATGAAAACATGACAAATTATGCTATTATCACTACCAGTCATCCCAGTTCATTATTTAAACCACATAGTATCAAAAAGAATGTTGGTTAATAGATAATTATTTTTATTCTTGCCTTAAGTTTTCTATGATTGTATAGAACTTCAATAAATAAATAGTTGTTACGAGAAGTGAAATACAGTGAATACCAAACGTTCGTACCAAGAATGAAAAATATAAAAAGAAAAGAGTTGAAAAGTAAGTCAATTCTAACCATCTTATGCACAATCTTTTAAGTTTACAAATGAATTTCTCTCATATTTACATACACTTATTTTTAATATTATCCAACTAACGTGCAACGCACATTTATCTCACTAACATATTTTAAATTTGGATAAACTCTTCGTGAGTTGTGTAAAACGTATGATATGGAAAAAGAAATGTCCTTGGCATTATTGTTCTCCATATACAAACAAACTGGTATGAATTATTGGGACAACACTACATAGATTTTAAAGGGGAATGGGGTATTCTTTTGTTGGGCGTTGGAACGACAATGTTAGTTACCAACTGCTGTGTTGGTAGTTTTCAACTTCGGATACTTGCTCTTTTTGGGACATCTTGACAACTCTCTGTTACCTAATGATCAAAACGAATAATACATTTTGAAAAATCTTAAGTAAAAAAATAAACGTCATTATATTAGTATATAAACGTTGTTCTTGTGTATCAAAAGTGTATTCGAGTATTGTGAATTAACTAATCATGTGTGGAGCAAAATAATATATTATTGTCAATTTATCGAACTATTATTTTAATTGTTGAAAACGAATGCAAACAAGTAGCAAAAAGTGCATGAATAGTCCGTAAGATTGAAGCATTCTTATTCTAGAGAGGGTGAGAAAGGTCTCATAATCCAAACTATTCCTTAAAGGTACAAAAGTAAAAACATGAACTTTATGCTTTACTCATATTTATAAACATTTTAGTCATTTTATGTGCACTTTCGAGAGATGTACGAATATTATCTATTAATCCACTATTCATTTCTATCCATTTTGGGTACGTTTGATTGTAAGTAAAGATGAAATTTGGATGGAAAGAAAATGAATTTCAGGGAATTGAATTGTCTAGAAATTGTTTTATTGAGAATAGTCAATTATTGTGTCTGATTGATATAAATTTTTACATGAAAAATGTTAAAATAAAAATATTTTTTGTTGTTCGTTTGACTTTGTTTTATATGAAAATTGTCAATTAAAAGGATAGAATTTACTGGTATTGAAAATGAAATTTCATTCAATTGCCAAATTTTTTTTCAAGAAAATCATCTATTTGTTGGTGTTCGGTTGGCTTTGTTTTACATAGAAATTGTATGGGCATAAATAATCAAGGAAGCAAAAAGAAAGAAAAAAAACTAAACTAAACAAAATAACAAAATAAACAAAAAAAAAAAAATTTTTTTTCAAAAAAAAAAAAAAAAAAAAAAAAAAAAATCATCAAATCGGCCAGCAGCCTAGAAAATGAATTCTCACCAATTTGGTGAGAATTTATTTTCCTCAATTTGGTAGAAAAATGGTTTAGGTGGCATCAAAGTGGGAAAAATTCCCTAAAAAAAATCATTTCAAACATCCATTTTTGATTTAGGATGAAAATCAAATTCCATTTTCCATGAAATTCATGCCTATCAAACATGGCCTTAAATTTAAAACATTTATGAACATTTCCCAACTTCTTTTTGCCCAAAGAAGTAAGGCTCTTGGTTTAGATTTAAAAATATTAAGAATTGTATGGTGATAACAATAATCCATATCTCTACTCTCTTAAAAAAGGCAATCTTTCCTGTACTGTTCATTTATGAATTATATTTTTTGTTTTCCATTTTACCTTAAATATCTGGTAGAGTCATTCTTACATTAAGGATGTAATAGTCTTTTCGTATGTATATGCAAAATACTTCTTTTCCTCTTATTAGTCAAAAGCAGAGTAATACCGAAAGCTTTGTTTTATAATTCTCTCTCAAAAACAAAACCCTTCACTAACCTTAAGCTCTCTTCCTCTTCCTTGATTCGAAATAATCTACAGGAAGTGAGACATATATCTATAAGTATAATTCTCATGCTTCAATTTTTTCTTTTTGTATGGATTTTTTCCCATTTTTTGAGCTGTAGTGCAAGAACTGAAAACAATTGGTATTTTTTGCTTTAGAGAGGATGGAGCGTCGCTATCTATGATTGTGTTCAGAGGCGGATCTAGCAATGGGCTGGGTTTGGCTATAGCCCAACCCCTGTCCCCAACCCACATTATAAAAAGGAAGGTATTTTATAGTTAAATTAGCTCAAATAACTATGATTATCCCAGCTTCATATTGTGTCCTAACCCCAAATCCAACTATCCAAATATTTTTTCATGGTATTAATGAAATGTGTACAATTTTATTACCAAATTAGTTTTTTATTTAATGCATATTTTACTTATAATTATATATAAACTTTTATAATAAATAAAGTTGTATTGATTAGAGCTAAAATAAATTACTTATTTTAATAGTACGAGACACTAGGGTCTGTTTGATTCCAAATATGAAATTGAATTGGATTGAAAACGAATTCTAGGGAATTGAATTATCTAGAAATTGTTTTCCTGGGAATTGTAAATTATTGTATTTGATTGATATAATTTTCTATGTGGAAAATGTTAAAATAAAAGTGTTTTTTGGTGTTCGTTTGACTTTGTTTTACATGAAAATTGTCAATTAAAGGGATAAATTTTACTGGTATTGGGAATGAAATTTGTTTTCATTGCCAAAAAAAAAAAATTAAGAAAATCATCTATCTTTTGGTGTTCGTTTGACTTTATTTTACATGAAAATTGTCAATTAAAATGAAATATTTTTTTAAATAATTCTTAGAATTTATTTCCATTGCTAACAAAAAAAAAAAGAAAAAAAAAGCCATGAATAGTATGTTGGAATTGGTTTTCCTTAAAAATCAAGAAAATACCATTTCCCAAGACAAGCAAGAAAATGAAATTTCATGGAAATTAAAACTTACCAAACACACAAAATTGGAAAAAGGTGGAATTCGAATTCCATTTTCCATGAAATTCGAACCAATCAAACAGGCAATGTTTGGCCAAACTTAAAGTAATTAAATTGTTTAGTTTTAGAAATATTTTCATATATAACTTATTTATACTTATAAGAGAGAAATTTACTTACTTTAACCATGAAATTGATATTACCGTCAAAATAAGTAACTTATTTCATATTTAATCTTATAATTAAAAAAAATTATAAAACTTATTTATTTATAAATAATAAATAATATGTATATTATAGAGCTGAATCAAACATGGATAAAATTCTTAACTATTCTTTTTTTTAGCTTCTTTATTGTTGGATATATATCATTTGCCCACATTTATCATACTTCTATCAATTTATATTTTCTAAGGTGAGCATCGATTTCATATTTTGCAAGAAAAAGTATGAATATCTAGTGAGACATCTTAGGATAAGAATCTAGACTTGTATTTCATTGAGTGTCTAATACTATTTGTCATGGATGTAATGAGCGTAGTCTCTCAAACTCGATCTCTTGTAGCGTGAATTTATTTAAAATTTTAAAATTTCAGCCCGCCCCTGAATCATTCTCTGGCTCCACCCCGTGTGTTCGACCCATCGAGATGCAGGTGATGATTTGCCAGAACCCTTTTTTTTTTAAATTCATTATAGGAAAATAATTTTGCACGAGATTCCAAAAACTTGGTACAAATTTGTTATGATAAGATGTACGTTAAGAAGAATACTAAGAACTACGTAGGATGCGTATGCAGATCTCTGGCCTCTGGTGTTATGGCTACCCATATTATGGACTCACAATGTGTTCATTTTTCCTCGACCGCCCGATATTACCTGAAACCTCTTCAGTGTTCTTATGAGATTTTTACCTCATGTTTAGTATTGTGTAATTCAATATATCCGGATTCTTTGCTGCAGCTTGCAGTTTACCATTTGATTATGTCAAAACCCAAATACTGAAAATGCAGCCAGTTACTTACGATCTCTCTTGAAATTATTGGCCGCATATTATTCTAGTTAATTTTTTCTCAATTTCTGATTCTATGATTTGTATTGGTGCAGATGATCAAACTCAGAAACTGGAGAAATCTTGGGCTGTAAATCAGCGGAGGGAGGTCTTAATTGAATTTGAGCTTTTGTCATAATAATATTTCGGCTTATTTGTTTTATTTTTCTTGCTCTGTAAATTCCACACCTACAACGTCGTGGGAAAGCGACTAATTATATTTTGTACTTGGACATTTTTTAGGGTAGGCATTCAAATTTCTCCCAAATTGGTTTTGGGAGGATTGCTTATTTGGACATCATAAGAAGTTGTTTTAGGGCCTGTTTGGGAGCGATTCTTTCACCCAAAAAATTGATTTTTTGACCGTTATTTTACTATTACAGCCGTCATATTTGACTTCTTCTCTCACAGGTGGATCCCACTTTTCTTCTAACTGTCAAAAAACCAATTCTCAAAATCACTCCCAAAGCTCTTAAGAATTCACCTTTTCTGCATAGAAGCAAAGATTAGCTCTATTGGGAAAATCAACAACTAGCTAATGATACATTGATACTGAGTAGAAATATTTTTTTCCTTGTTTGATAAAATCAAAGTAATTTCTTCTATTAAATTATCTTTGTCCCTCTAAAATTTAATATCCAATTTTCAACGAAGCAATATCGAGTAGGAATTCCTGCATGTACAGCTAACCACTGGATAAGAGGGGATATGTTTAGAATTTAGATGGAGTGTTGTAAACATAGAATAATATATTATCGGTAAGTTTTTCATTATCCAAGACGTTATTTATATTGGGCAAATAATACCTGAAAGTAACTAATTTATAAGAGGACTTGAGAATTATGAATCATTACGTGGTCGGTAAGAATCATAACACTCTTAGGGTGCGTTTGATTACAAGTAGGAAAATTACATGGAAAGAAAATGAATTCCAAGGAATTGAATTACCTAGAAATTGTTTTCATGGAAATTGTAAATTATTGTGTTTGATTGTATAAATTTTTCACGTGGAAAATGTTGAAGTAAAAGTATTTTTTGATGTTCGTTTGACTTTGTTTTACGTGGAAATTGTCAATTTCAGGGATATCCTCTTTTATAATTATTCCTAAAATTTGTTCCCATTGCCAACAATTAAAAAAAAATAAAAAAAGCAAAAAAAAAATAAAAAAAAAAAAGGTGGAAAACCAAAAACCACCTATCCCCTAGGAAAAAAAAAGGTGGAAAATCACGCTTTAAGGTGTTGTACCTAGAAATTCATGGAAAATCAATTCCCTGGAAAATTTTGTCAATCAAATAGGCCAAAAGTGGAAGTTGGAATTCGAATTCCAAGTTCCATGGAAAATTTCGTGCAATCAAACGGGGCCTTAGAGTATTTTCAAAAGACACTTTAAACATAAGATATTGTTTATTTTCAAGAGTTAACCCTTAAAATTTTGCTTCAAGAGACTCTTTAAATTAACCCTTACTCGATGTTAATTAGTAATTGGAAGTAGACATAAGTCCATCTGTTAGACTTGAACCAACAAAAAGAAGAAAGGAAGTTGAGAATAATGATGACCTAGTGTTGGAAAAAATGAATAAATGACTTATTTTTGGCAAAATTTTCGGTGGGACCCGTTGATCTAATTTGAAAGATCAAACAAAGTTGATCCATGTTCTCCTCCGTGAGAGTATCAAAATCATATATTTATTTGTCAAAAATAAAGTTTGGGTGAATGAGAAATTTGAGTTCAAAGATGACTATTGGAAGATGGTTATGTGGGAAAAAAATTTGAAGTTAATCCCACATAGAAAAAATATGAAAGCAAGAACCACTTTAAATATGGTTATACATTGGAAATGTGTAATTATATATAGTATAGAGGCTCTTTCCACGTGTGTGCATAGGGGGGATGCAAATCACGGACCGAAAATTGCATTCGAACCTTGAACTTGTGTGCGGGTGCGACCTGCGTACACGAATGTCGGACCGAACGGAGTAGAAATTGGCCTATTTGGAGCGTCCAGTAGAAACTAAAGTGACTCCAGTGTTTATTGCCATGGAATTATTGGACAGATTTATGTTATATTAAATCCCAATTTTTCAGCAGTTCCAGAACTTACGAAAATAGGAGAAAAACATTCTGTATATATTTCTGTATGCATCTTGATTTCTATTCAGCGTCGTCGTTGTGGTGATATTACTCGGATACCAGTCAGTTCGTTGGAGTAGTATCTGTGGTGTTCAGATTCTAAGGGATTTTGCCGTTGTATCTTGAAAAACTGATGCTCGGATTAGATCTCAAGTGCTTACGGTGAGGGAGCGAATATGTTTTAAGGAATCTGTGCTCGCACATACCTCAAGTTGAAAATTTATTTATTTTCTACAATTTACATATTTGCAAGTTATTTATTTATTTAGCGATTTACACGTTTGTAATTTACTAGATTCATATACTTTGTATATATATATATATATATATTCTGAATCTTCTTGCTAACAGTTGGTAAATGCAATTCTGTATATGTATATTACATATACGATTTTTCTATTGAAAAAATTCTGTGTTATTTTAATAAAAATAATTCGTGCTAATTTTACGTATATACGGTAAGCTTCGTTGCCAAATACAATGAGCTGTCAAATACAGTAAGTTGCAAATACGGTAATGTGCAAATACAGTAAGTTGCTTGCAAATACGATAAGATGCATATACGGTATGCTTAAAATCAGTATCTAAACTACATATACGGTATGCGATAATCCAATTTCATTAAAACCACTATATTCCAACACTTAGCACTAAGATTAATGATAATAATCTGCAATTAGTGAGAGGAAGAAAATTAAGAAGGGAGAAAGCAGGCTATGGCCCATGCACGCACATGCTTATGCATGATGGATGAGGTAACCCTCCAACTCATGCATGTGCCTTCTAATCTAATTAGTGAGCTTAATTTGGACAAGTACATGTTAATTAAACACAAAGACGTGTTAATACAGTTGGAAATATCTTTCCTCCCTCTTGATATATTTATTTTTCACCAAAATAAAATCAAATATTGTTTTATATTAATCCTCCATGCAAAAGAAGAGTCTTCAGGATAAAATAATATTAAAAAAAAAAAACCTTTAAAAAGAGGTTTTCGCTGCTGAAGAAACTTATAAAAACTCATCAGATGCTTTTTGCCGATTCAAGTCCAAACAGTCTCTCAAATAAGTTTTGAGTGAGAATTACCCATTCAGAGAGAGTAAGAAAGAAGTTTTTTTTTTTTGAAAATAATTTTAAAAAAATACTACCAGCAATTTCTTAATCCAAGACGAAGATATTATACTGCATGTCTTGTGACCTTCTAATTTTATTCGTAAAAGAAAGCTTGTATAGCCATACACAGGGACGGATTCAGGATTGGATTCAAGACCGGACTGCTACGTGGAAAAAAAAATTTACATAAAAAATTGATTTTTTACCAAAAAAAAATAAAAAAAAAACCTTTAAAAAAAATTTGTTGGCCCTGAGGGGGGGGGGGCCCCCCCCCCCCCAACCCAAATCCAACCCTGGCCATACATATATTTTTTTTTTTATTTACAAACGTTACAAAGTACATTCAAGATTCTTTACTCTTCCGTTTATTCTAACATTTCTCAAATTCTATTTTGCATTCCATTTCAACCCACTGCTGCCACCCTTTAACTTTAACTCACAAGCTCCAGTCCTAACGTAACAATATGAAGAGCAATAAAAACATTTTTTTATTTATTAAAGTTATAGTATACATTCTTCGAGTTCTAGCTAAAATGAGCCTTCAATGATAAAAATTAGAAAGTAGATCTTTATGTCATCTTGATTTAAAAGTGTTAATGCTGAAGCTGCTCTATTGATGTGTTGTTACCCTCATCTTCAAGAACTACAATATAACTAACACCAACGAAATCAAGATTTTTTTTTTCTTTTTGATTATTTATTTTTCGACTTTCGTCCATGGAGTAGTGTATTTCTTATTACTGAAGATATAAATGAAAATAAAATATAAATTTAAGAGGGATTGAAAGCAAAGGCAAAAGGAAAAACTCAAATCACTCTCTCTTTTTAATCAATAATAATTAATTAAAATCACCATTTTACATGCATAATAAATTCAAAAATGAACAATCAAACCAACTTATTAGTTACATTAAATCAAACCAGACAAATCCCACATCAAATCAATAAGTAAAAACATGGGCAGATCAAAAGAGGAGGGCGAAAACGATGGCTGCTACGGAGGCAAAGAAGGTGGGAATGAAGGTGGTGGCGGCGTCGGAGGTGGGGCCTGGAGCCGGAGGATCGGCAGCGGAGACACCGTTCACGGAGGAGAGTGCTATGAACATGAGGACCGTCAAGGCAGTTGCCAGCATCTTCATCTTCATGGTCTCCATTGCTTCTTCAAAAGAAAGATAATTAAGAGATATATAATGGACGTATGTATGTATGTATTTATGTATATATAGAAAGAGAGAGGCTCTGCAATTTCTATTTGAAGAAAAATGTTATGTTTGTATAGAGAAGGTGGAGTTTATATACAAACGGAGGTGAAGAAGAGAGAGAAATTCGGGGCAGTTTAACGTTAAAAAAAGCTTCATTGTTCTTTTTCTTTTTCTTTTTTGTCTGCTTAATTATTTAGACACCTTCTTTTTACCCTTCTCTCTTTTTGTTTGAACAAAAGTTTCAACTTTATTTGCTTTTTTGATAGAAATTCAGGAACTAGGAGACATCTCTTTATACTTTCATCAATAGATAAGCTAAGTGTCGCATGGTAACTTGAAGAGTCAATTTCACAATTAGCTACTAACTAAATCAACAAATTGCCAAACGTAAAAAAAGCGTATAAGTTATGAGTATAAACTCACGATTGATACTAAATTAATCTATTATAGTGTGAAATGGAAGAGTTGACGCGGTGTTCGCGTGTGGGTCGCCACCATCATATTGGCATTGCCTCTTTTTTTCTCTAGTCTCAACCACTATTGTTTTGTTGTATGAAAAGAAAAAGGCAGGCTTAGCTATTAATTATTGCTTTTGTCAATGTTAAACTTTATTTTTTCCAATTTTCATTATTAGTTTACCTAATCTAATGCTTCCATATTGGTTTTGATTTTAGAATTTAGATGTGAAGATGTGTTTCATTAATTTAATCCAAGAACTTCAACTTTTCATATTTATGTACCTTTTTTTTTTTAATGTTTTTTTTACAAGTTATAAACCGATACTTGTCCACATTCACGGATTCTAATCCTCTCAGTCCTTGAATTGAAATGAAGCAAGGCCACTAAAAAAATAAAACATGTACTTAAATTTGATCAAGGAACCTTATAGAGAACATAGGGATTTATAAACCCAACTATAAAGAAAATATAATAAAATGTTTATTTACCCTCTGTCCACTCATTTCATTGTTGGATTGAGCTACTACGTTGTTTTGTGTTAAATTCCACCGTAATTTGTTAGATTTTATTTCATTTTTATTTATTTTTCAATTTCATTTATATTGTCTTGAGTGTTAGTCAAGATAATTATTTTTATATTGATTTTAAACAGTCTTTAACTTTTTCTCTTAGGAGAGATCCACAAAAGATGGTATTACCTTTGAAGTACTTTAGAAAAAGATATCCAGAAATAATTAAAGTGAAAATTACACCATAGACTTTAGTAACTTTTGAAATTTAAAATTTAGTTTTTATTTATTTTTTAATTCATTTTTACTGTCTTCTTTCACTAATTAGAAATATGTACGTCCAAATACAGACCCTCCCCCGCCATCACCAGTACTGCAACCTACCATGCATCACCACCACTATTGTTGATCCCCATCTCGCACTAACACTCACTACAACAATTCACAAGTATCTGTCAAAACTTAGTCCATCTTACTTGCTAATTTCTGTTAGTGTAAACTGCTTTGAATAAATCAAATCTTTTAGAGTAGACTCAAGGCCGGTACTATGATTGACGGGCTCTTAGGCGAAGTTTGTAAATTAGGCCTCTCAGCGAAAGCAATGTAAATACAAAATTCAACGGTGTATTATGCGACCCATTGAGAATTACACCATTGAGAATGATTCCGTCACAACTCACGAGCCTAAAACAAAAATTTATATAAAATTATGATACTTTTACTTGTACATTATCAAATTAAAGTTTAGCTAAAAGCGCCAACTTACATATGAGCTAGGGCCTATTGGCTTGAATAAATTCTTGAAATACAGGACCCAATCTGAATCTCATCTTCCATTCTGGCTTTTGCTATACTTTAAGTGCCTGAAAATGTTAACTTGAATAGTTGAATGGGGGTAATAACGTAATAGACTAAATCTAATAGGAACCAAAGTCTTTTATCAATGCACAATCGAAAATCAAATCTATGAAACCCCTCAAAATTCCAAAATAAGTGTTCTTTTTCATCTTTGATTTGATTTTCATTTATCATTGCACTCCCAGCCTTTTTCTTTCTTTTTTTGGTTGTATCCTGTCGAAGAGTATTCAATTTCCATTTTCCCTTTGAGTGGAAGTATATATAATAAAGAAATGGCACATAACCAGGAAATGGCACAATTCTTTTAACATTATATTGCTCTGGAAACTATTATACATATAAATTAAAGTTTCCTTAGCTTATATAAAGGAAACAATAATACATAAAGGAAATGTAATAAAACGGACAGTATACAATAGCTTAGAATTAAAGCTTTTTAGTTTATATAAGACCGCAAGTGAAGTGAAGATAAATAATTCAATGAAAAACGAATTATGCAATGAGTTATATTATATAGACTATTCAACTCTTTTAAGTGAAGTGAAGATTTTGAAATGAAATTCAAAATCTATGAAAATACTATAAAATGAAAACCTGTTGAAGCCCGTAAAATTGTAAAAAGCTACATAAATCAAATTACTAGACATCAAGACCTTAATTCCCTGATCACTAGATCTTAGATTCTTAGTCTTGGCAATATTTAAGCCTTTCAAAAAATTCAACTACTTGCTTACACCCTACTATAATTATATAAATTCCCTTTTTCTTCAAACTTTATTGCTCTGTAGATAAATTTCACCCTAGGAAAAATGCTGTGGATCCACCTTCCATGATGATGGTATGCACAAGATTCAAAACCCAAAAAAAGATTTAAAAAAAAAAGGTTACCAGATAATGAGCTTTTATACTAGAATCCCAGATTAAGATAGAATATGCTGAATACCCAAAATGACAATGAGTAAGATTAGAGAGAGAAAGTGGATAAGATTAGAGATAGAAAGTGGATACACAAGGTAAAAAAACTTAATTACCCACTCAATAGCTCGATTGAAGAAGCCCAAATATCCAGAAACCAAGATTAACATTGAGGAAAAAGAGGGTGTTGGCCAATACCCAATAGCAGAGGGTGTTGGTAGCACTAGTCCAGATTGGTAGATTTTCGGCACCAGCGATGCAAAACTACCAAGTCCAAGTGAAGAGGCAACTCAAAAGCAGAAGAGCTGCAGACTTGAGACTTCGAACGACTTCTCAAAGATTTTGGGAACCATTGACCTGAAGTAGACGACACTGATGCGACGACTGACGAGCACGTCGAGCAGGCTGCTGTATTTCAGATTTTGGGAATTTTTGACTGTATTTCAGAATCAGATTGTGGAAATTTTTGGTTATTTGGATTGGATCGTGGATATTGGATATGTAAATTTGGTTGGGTAAATAAATCTGAAAGGTAAATGGATTGTGGGCTTGTTGGATAATTGTGTTATATAAAAATAATAATAATAAATAAATAAATTATTTGGCCAAAATTAGGCCCCCTATGATCTTGGGCCTGAGCCAGGACCGGGCCTTAGTAGACTAAGTCAATGTTGAGTTGTTAATAAAAGAGTAATCCTATGCTTTATCTAAAAGATCGTATCTGAGTATTTTTAGTAAAGTTTGTTAATTCTTAGTCTATAAATTCAGTTTCTGATGTAATTATTGTGTGGTTCTCAATAAGATTCTTTCAATTCCTATTTCATTAAAGAATTTTCTTGTTTTTTTTATATGGTGTCAGAGCAAAGTTTAAAGTCCTGGTTTTTATTCACTCTTCTTGACTATCTAATTGTTGTCTTGTTGGAGAAAGGTGGAACTTTGCTACAAGAAAATTCCTTAGTTTGCAATATGGAATTAATTAGTGGAGGAAATAGTTCCAATACACAAAATGGTGTTGAGAAATTAGTTGGCACAAACTACAAGTACTGGAGAATGTATATGGAAGCTTACCTTCAAGGCCAAGATCAGTGGGAGCTGGTTGCTAGTACCGATTCAACAATTTCATATGACACTCCTGATAATGCTGAACCACGACGAAAGTAGAAGATCTCGTGTGGTAAGGCACTTTTTACCTTGAGGACATCAATCAGCAAGGAGCTCATTGATCATGTTCGTGATGTTAATTCTCCAAAACAAGTTTGGGAAACTCTTGAAAGGTTGTTTTCTAAGAAGAATATAGCAACGTTGCAATTTTTGGAAAACGAATTGGCAATGACAACACAAGGAAGTGTGTCAATTTTAGAAAAAAAATTTACGAATTAAAAATATTTGTGCTTAAACTTTAGAACTAGATGTTGATAGCGTTGTCAATGGATCGGATCTGCTCAAATCCGATCCAGTTCGTTAAGAATAATCATCCAGTCCGATAATTTGACGGATATTTGAATGTTAAATCCAAATTCGATTAGCTATGTTATCGGATATCCGATCCAAAATTGAATAAATTAAAAAAATAAAAATTTTATTTATTTTTTCATTAAAAATCATAGCCTCAATAAGATTTTAATTATTTATTTATTTTAAAAAATATTTGTACTATCTTAATGGGTTCACTTATTATATTAGAAGGCACAAATCAAATTTTTTATCCAAGTGATGCTCGTTTTAACTCCTATTTAAAAAAGACCCCTCTTTGAATGTTTTAGTAATATTCTATTGTGGGATACTAGCTTTTTAAAAGATTCTCCTCTTCCAATTATTTAGTAATCTTTCAATGTGGAATACTAATCACAATCATTTGTCAATTCTAAGTGTTTATTAGTTTACTTTATTATTTTCATTAAAAATTATAGCCTCAATAAGAATTTAATAATTTTTTTGACATATTAATTGTTAGTTTTTTATTTTATAAAACAAATTACTATCGTAAATCTAATTAATAAATTAACTATTAGTTTTATCTTATTTTAATTAATAATAAAATTAAATCTCTTCAAAGTTTTCAATTAAAAATATTATACTAATATATAATACTATTTATTATTTAAAAATTACGTGTAAAGTATAATACATTTTTCAAAATGGAAAAAAACAGTTTCATAAATTATGCGATAATATAAAAATATAATATATTATTATAATAAATCGGATCGAGTTATTATTGGATCGGATTGACCTATATTTATATTTGATTTATATAGTTAATGAATTATCGGGTTCAGATCTCAATCGGGTTATGGGATTGAGACTCTAAATCCATCTCTCATTAATATCA